TCTTCAGTTGTTTACACTGGGATTAGATATATCACTTGACAGCTTGTTAACTCATTGTTACACAAGGTTAGTAATTTGCGTTTTAGGGCAATATTTTAATTTCTTCTTTTACTGCCTAACCTTTGACCTGTTTACTTTATCAAGGAAGACAAACAAAAAAACAGCAAAAAACAAAAACGAACAAACAAAAACACTTCACTTAAATTCTTACTTTTTATACAGTTTGATACAATTTGAGTGTAAGGGTTAGCAGAAATGGCTAAAAATGCAATTTTAGAATCACTGGTAAAATTGTTTGCAATCTTCTTCCCATCAATATTTGGACACATGCATGAAAAAAATCTTCACTGTATTACTTAACTGACAAGTATGGATGGTGTTGCCTGTGTAAGTTTTGATTAGGTAGGACTGACCAAAATTTGAATAATCTCATAGGTTTATTTTTTTCCACTGACTTAGTGTTTAAAAGCCTTTTTTTGAATGGAGTTCTTTGTAAACTCATCTGAAAATTTGTACCCAAAGATTTCATCAGGTCATCTGTACTTCTACCTCCTATAGAATGGGGGTTGTATCTGTTTTGTCAGCCTCATGTGAACATAGTCTGAAATTGTTTACTCATGATGATCTGATAGAATGTAAGAACAAAGCTTCTTGGATAAGTGTCTCTCATGCAATTCTAAAATACATTGCATAATTCAAACAACATAAATGTATGCAAAATGCTTCAGGTTTGATTTTGAGATGATAAATTGAATCCAGGTGTTCATTGTTTTCCTATTTGTAAGCTAGTCTATTTTGTTACTACTTGAAATATTGTGAGCATGGCCCTGTAACTACAGAATGAGAAACCTGTGCGTGCATGCCTTTGATTTAGCTTAAGTCTAATGTATATATTGTTCATTGTTGGGCAAACTTCCCAGACTGCCTTGCCAAAATAGTATTTTGAATGATGTTACAGCTAGAAGGATATATAATCAGATTATTTGTAGCAGTGGACCATTACATGATTACCATAAAACAATAGTTCCAAACTTTTTGTGTTATATAAAACCTCTGAAAATTTGGAAACCTTTTCCCAGAAAAAATAATAACATTATGTACAACATATTTTTCAGAGATGTTTTTGAGTGCTTGTAAGTCATATTCATTTGCTTCATGTTAAAAAAAATCCTGCCACATTTATATACATTGTTTATGGGAATATAAATTGAAACCAATTATGTAGACAACTTGGATTATTTATAATTATATTTATAATTAACATGCACATATTCATGCTTCTGGATAGGTAGCAGAATTAACATTTATCTCATTTTGTTAGCAACTCAAGCATCATAGCTAGCAGGAAGGGAAAACCATTATAAATCCTCAAGAATAAGACTAGGAAAGGAGCCGATGATAAATAAAGGAACATCAACTGGAAAACCTATGAGTTAGTAGTAAACTCAGTAGAGCTAAGAAGGCCAAACTACAAGCAACTGGTGGGGTTTAATGTGCTATAGAATTCTGAACATTGTGGATCTGGAGCACGAGGTGCCTCGGGAATTGAGTGAAAAAGGACATAATAAAAAGGTTTGTTAAATAAAAGCTGTGTAAGACTCAGTCAGATCTCTAAGTAAACTTCCCTACTCAGTTACCACCTCAACAGAAGCAGGTGGGTTGAAGTGTTCTCTTCATCCTGGGAGACCATTGATGTGAAGGGGCTGAGTGTCTTGCCCAAAGCACTGACTAGTAGAAATGTACATATTGACTGATGAATGGAGAAGCAGTGGGCTTCTTGGTTTGGTGTCTTGGCTTTTCTATCCTTGGAAGAATTTTGTTTGGGCTATCTGTCCAGTCTAAGAAGAAATACCTAAACATACTAAGCTTAGAGTTTTCTGGAAGTATCTCAACATGATCACTGTATAGAAAGCTACTGGAGAATTTTTCCAGGAAAATGAGTCAGTAAAGAAAGAAGACTGAGGTTTACAGAATTAGGGTATATGTGATAGGAGAAAGGGGAAGAGAATTCCCAAGATGATATATAGAGAGATCCAAGGGTGATAATTGTATGACTGGCAGAAAAGACAAGCAGTTCATGTTGATAAAGCTTAGAGGACTCTAAGGTAACTTTTTCATGAATATAAAGACTAGTAAAATGCCTGATGTGTTAGAACATCTTGAGAGTAGATTTAGGAAAGTATCTAAGTGTGTGGTGTTGCATGAGTCATAAGCATATAGAAATCTAACCACATAAAACAAAAGATAAACTCAAATTCCAGGGAAAACAAAGAGTTATTCAGAAAAGGAATTTTAGTAATAAGTGATTCAGCTATGATTGGGGTTTACATAGTCAATGTAAACATTCAATATTGATTCAGTCAAAATTATGATATTGAAAGAATAAAGAGTAGGAAATAATACAGGTGCATACTGTGGTAAGGTTGAGAAGAAAAAGGACAAAATTCTTTTTGTTCCATAGAAAATGATTGGAACAGAAAATCAAAAGGCAGTATAAGAATGTTACGTAGAGGTATTGTATAGCAGGTAAATTACTGAGCCCAATTCTTCATCCTGTGGAAATAGTGTTTTATTTCGCTTCCTGTGCCTTGGCCCCTTGGGGGAAAAAGTATCTTTCTCTCATCCTTAATTCTTTCTTTGGATAATGGGATTTTATCAGATTTAACATAAATAGAAACTTAATGTGTGATTGTGCTATTAGTTTTGTCTTCTTTTTATGCCATAAGAAGATACTCATATTCTGCTTGCTTGCTGCCCCTCCAGTATGAGTTGCACAGCAAATCCATGGATTAGCACTCAACAGCATTTCAGTTTGAAGCAGTCATCCTGGCCACTGCACAGCCATGCAAGAAATAAGTTTATTGCAACATGCCAGTGAGATTTTTCTGCATATTTTTTTGCTCAGCTAAAGTTAACCATTACACATGGAAGTAAATACTAGAACAGCTGATTAAAAGAAGTAATGCCTCCAGAGAAGACAAAATAGGTAAAGGGGACAGCATAAATGGTTTTGCAAATCTTACAGGGATATTTGGTAAATATCCCTGTATAAACTGAAAATTAAGAATGATTACAATATGATTGATTTATGATTGGGTTTATAAAGATGTAGTATTTGGACAAGGGAGCAAGGATGTTGGAGTGCTAATAATAAAATTTTTCATGTTATTAACTATAGTGTCTTGCTTGATAAGGAGAGTCTAAGAAAATGAAGGTTTTCTAATCCAAGCAAAATGGAGCCTTCACAGGTTTGGAAACCTCGGTGAGATAAACAGGGCAGTTTAGTGTGAGGAAAGAGAATGTCAGAGACATTGCAAACAAAAATTCCAAAGAAGCTATAATAGAAGTAAAGTTAATTTTGCAGGTTTTTTATAGAAATTAGCTATTCAAGTGATGGTAAAGATCACCTCATAAATGTTGTATTAGCTATTATCAAAAAGACAAGATAACAAGTGTTTGCTCGGTGTGGAGAAAAGGGCTCCTTGTACTTTATTGGTGGGAATGTAAAATGGCACAGCCATTGCAGAAACCAGTATGAAGGTTTCTCATAATGTTAAAAGTGAAAGATTTGATGCAGCAATCCTGCCTCTGAGTGCATGTCCAAAGGAAATGAAATAAGCCACTCATGGAAATATCTTCAATCATGTTCATTAAAGCATTATTCATAGAAGTCAGGAAAGGGAGAAAATCTAATTGTCTCTCAATGGATGAATGGATAAAAAAATTAGGATTACACACATAAATAAGCACTGGAATATTACCTATCTATAAAAAAGAAGGAAATCTTGCCACTTTTGACAACAAAGGAAAATCTCCCCTTTTTCTGAACAGAAACTAGGTAGAAGAACAGCAGAAGGAAAAGATGGTATACATCATCAGGAATGTGTCCAATCTCCCTGCAGAGAAAATAGAAGTCTACATAACCATGAGATGTTACTGGTTAGCTCCTGACAACTTGTTAAACACCAATTTAAATTTGTAACTAATAATTGTAGCTTACCAAGGACTGGCTATAAGCCAGATAGTATACCAGATATCTTATAGTTGCTGTCATATTTGTTCTTTATGACAACTTTTATCTTTCATTCCTGAAAATGGAAGAAGCTGAGGACAGATTAAATAGCATGTTTGTAGTCTGACAACTTGTTGTGTGGCAATACCGCAGATGGAACCCAAGTCTGTGTGATTCTAATAGTCATGCTCTTACCGTCTGTGGTGCCTTATGTTCACTATAGTGTATACACTTCTATTAGTTAAGCAGAACCTGATTAGAAACCTGTTGTAAGTTTTCATGTATATAGTTTGCCCATAGTTTTAACTGTTAGATAAAATAATAGCAAGACTATGTTGACTGACATGGAGAAGATGAATGTCCTGTGTATATCATATAATGGTAGCCAGATTTAATATATTATAGCAACAATATACAGATGCTATTCTTAGATTTGAGTGTTTAGATTTTAAATGCTCTGCAGCTTATCACCAGAACATGAGACTGGTTTGTTGAAAGTATTAAATATATATGTTTGGAATTAAAACCATAATTCTTACAAATATTTATTTTGGGGAATATAATATTTTTGCTACATAGCACAATAAGCACAGAAATATTACATAATTCTTTTTGAGCAAGAAGTAATAACAGGACAGTTCATCTATGGCAAGGGTACAAAATAAAATATCAGGCCAACCCTTTCTCTTAGCCTTTCTTTCCAGAGGCAGTCAGTTTTTCTGACACATTCTAAAGAGATTCTTTTCATTCTTAACCTCTTAACCCGGTGTCTCATTCTGTGTCCTGCACAGTGATTATCTTCAGACTCTTCACTACTATCTAAGGAATTCCCTTTCTCTTCTCCTGTGTATGTCTATATACTTTCTTATTCCATCTGTCTTCTCACCTTTCTCTTCTGATTTTGTACACTACCATCTCCTGTGGTCTCCTGAGAAAGTATGTCTGTAGGACTTCTCATTTCCTTTTGGGCCTGTAAGGATCTTAGAGGTCATTACTACAGCTTAACAAGTGAAAAATCTAAACAAACTAAAATAACTCCTTATATCATTGAGAGAAGTAAAGTCACATGGCAAACTATTGTCCCCCAAATAGGTCAATACACAGTAAAAATCTCCAGTGCCGGGAAAGAAGACCTATATTATAATTGAAGCATTCCTGGAAACTCAGTGTGGGGAAGTCTGAGAGAGAACTTGAAGGAGTCCCATCATAGGGATACCCCATACTTTTGTGAATCTTACCTTTAGGAGGTTGGCTAGGTTCTCAAACCGAACATTGGAGAAAAATGCTGTTGTGCTTCATACCAGCTAGGGCAAAAGTAACCATTGTGAAATGTTCTAGGACATTTCATTCTTTTTGATAAAGTTATTCCTCAAGAGAAAGCAGTTTACCTGAGCCCCAAATTTTTCCCCTATAAGAGACTAACCAACAAGGATATGGATGGTTGATCTTATCAGCTTGATTGGATTGAGAAGCATCTGGGAGATTAGTAAAGTATCCAGAGATTGGATAATGAGAGCTCTGATCTAATCACTCGTTTAATCCATTCATGGATACATGAATATACATATTTTAATATTAGTTTGTGTATGATAAATTCACACTAGTCTCCGTGTTTATCCTCTATTTCATATGTTCTTTATTGTATTTGCCTATTTTCCTTTGACTTTACTAGTACTGCATGGGTGGTGGGAGCATAGCATCCAGAATGTTTCCTATCACCGCCTGAGACAAGGAGAAGTACCTGATCCCATGGGCTTCTCTCAATATGTATTTTGTGAGCACTCATTAGGCTGTCTTGTGATGTGCTAATTATTGTGTTCGTGGGATAAGTCAGGGAAAAAGTTAGGGTTATTGCTAGTCATATTTGGGACTTAACCATCTGTTAAGGAGATAACTCCTTTTCACTGTATGTAACTTAAATACTACCAGATAACACTGTACAGATGCTGAAAGAACAAAGCAGAGGTTTACTGAAATTCACTTCAGCTTATTTGAATGTAGCTAATATTGATAATATTATAGGAAATATGCTATGCACTATATAAAAATAGAAGATATAAGCTATGACTTTTCTGGTGAAATGGGGACTGTATATTTTATATTTTCTTAATTTCACAAACTACTACAGTTGGAACTTTGTAACCTCCAATACAACAAAACACTTTTGGCCAAGGCTAAATAATATATTCATATTTGTTACCTTCCTGAAGTCCCCCTTACATGGTTATGCTTTTTCATAAACTGAAAATCTTGATAAATATTTGATAATGTCTCAAGTCTCTGTATCTTTGCATGGCATCTTTTGTTTAAACAGTATGCCCTTCCCCCAATTTTATTTAGGCTTTAAGATGGAGATCAGAGACCATTGTCTCTGATAGGCCTTCCCTGATACTCTTATATAAAATTAGCACTGGATTATGGGCAGCTACTTTTCTAGTGCTGCAAATTACATTCTCTTCAAATTGTTAATTCAGCTCTCTTTCTGGGCTTGAGTTCATAGGGACATTATACATGTGTCATTTACCTTTATATAGCTGGTCTTTAATGCAGAGTTTGGAGATATGATAGTGAGTACTCATCTGAATTACATTTATTTTTTGGTTATTTTGATGATTGTGCTTAAAATCTTATTTTACTGAATTTGAGAGATGTTTGCATTTTCCACACAAAGACTGAACTGTTTCCATCTTCAGAAATAAAAAGTAAATCTTTAAAGAATATATTCATATTTTAAATATTAAAATGAATAAGAACGGTGACCTATAAATGTCTTAGTATGGATATGTTAGGAGATTTGGATTTAAGAATTCTGACATAAATTCTTCAGCCCTACCTTTAAGCATTTTATAAATGGGTTTGGAAAAGTAACTTATGAGCAAAGGAAATAAAGTATTGTGTTTATTGAACACTTGACACTATTGAGGAAGCCCAAAACTGTTAAAACGATTGCAACATTCCTATTGCCTTTTTTTGTTTTGTTTTGCCTTTAGGGCATAAGGAGGATTATTCTATAACATAATCAGTAGCTAATTAAATGGTTTGTGAGTTCTCTTAGGCTCTTCCTTTTCTGTTTGCTATAGTTTATGAAATAAAAGCATTAGTTTCATTTTAAATCACAGATTGTTAACTCTTCCTGTGCCTGTGCTTATTTTTTTTACTACTTTTTTTTTTTTTAAACAGTGTAGTGACTATGACTTGGAATTTGGAACTGAGTGTTTGCACTTGGCTCTAAAATACTGTGATACTAAAGCCAAACTTGTAGAAGGATCACCTGACCTCTGGAAGGTAAGAGAGAGAGTACTTTACCTGGCTCTTTTCTGCTTGTGTGTGCACATGTTCATATGTACGTATGTTTTAAACTGGTAGAATCCTTAAAGGGAGTTCAAGCAGTCTCACTGAGTTTCTTGAACCAGTGATATTTCTGTTGCTTGGACTCTAGACAATTCACTTTGGGATAATTCAGACAAATTCCACTTTAATCTGTATTTGTTTTCTTCACCTTTTTCCTTTTCTTTTTTTTTTATTTTATTATACTGAGGGTACATTGTGATATTTACACAAGTTCTTATAGTATATCATAGTTGAATTCACCCCTCCATCATTCTCCTTTATGCCCCTTTCTCCCATTCCTGAGAGCTCAAAAGACTAGACTCCCCCAAAAAATCAATGACCCGATGAAGAAATGGGTAAATGAACTGAACAGAGGTTTTTAAAGGAAGAAGTCCCAATGGCCAAAAAAAAAAAAAAAAACCCAAAAAGCCATGAAGAAATGCTCAACATTCCTAGCCATAATGGATATGCAAATCAAAACCATGTTAAGATTCTACCTCACTCCTGTTAGAATGACTGTCATCAACAACAGTACCAACAACAAATGTTGGCAAGGATGTGGGGAAAAAGGAACGTTCATTCATTGTTGGTGGGAATGGAAATTAGTACAACCACAGTGGAAAACAGTATGGAGGCTCCTCAAAAAACTAAAAATAGAACTGTCATGTGATCCAGCAATACAATTTCTAGGAATATACCCGAAGGAATGTAAGTCAGGTTACAGTAAAGGCACCTGCAACCCATGTTTATTGTATCATTATTCACAATAGCTAAGCTATGGAAACAGCCAAGATGCCCCACTACTGGTGAATGGTATTTATATATGATGGAATTTTATTCAAGCACAAAGAAGAATGAAATTTTATCTTTTGCAGGTGAAGGGATGGAACTGGAGAACATCATCGTAAGTGAAGTTAGCCAGGTTCAGAAATCAAAGGCCACATGTTTTCTCTCATGTGGATTATACAAACACAGCCATAGTACAAAAAACAGTTCATGCGAAGGGAAGGTCACATATGACAGGGGGAGGGTAAAAGAAGGAAGTTAAGAAGGTGAATATGGTTAATGTACTTCTCATACAGGAGTGAATATAGAAGTTTTGAAACTTTTTTCTTTTTCTTACCCTCTGTTTGTAGCCTTTTATTCTACTCATTCTGTTGGATTGAAGCTATAACTCTGTTGCTCGGAAAGCAACATTTCTATCCAGGGCTGGATTAGTAGCTCCAGCTGGACTAGGTAGGAAGCATATCAACCATCATTCTGACCTGTAGGGCAGTGGCTGGACCTGTTCTTGGTCTTGTATCGGAAGCTATACTCTCTCCTCTGGCAAGACACAACTCTTCTAATAACAAGTGGATTTCTTTTGGAGGGAATTGAGTTGTTGCTGGGAGCAGGGTAGTAGCATTATCACACTGCAACTTCCTGTGGAGGTATTGGCATTTTACCCTGTGATTTGCCTTTGTTTAATTAGATAGTTATGTGTTGAACTGAACAGTACATTCTGAAGTAGAGTTTTAGGGCCATTTCCAAATTTGAAATAGGTGTAACTGCTTTGGAAATATTGTTTGTAGTACTGGTAAATCAGTATAGAATATCCACCAAATTTTAGTTTGTACATATTCATTCTAACTTTGATTATTCATACAATCCATCATTGATTTTTTAAAACAGAATACCCTATAAATTGATTGGATATTTTCCACAGTAACTTGATAGGCCTTTCTGCATGTTGATTGTCTCAGATACACTTAAAGGTTTTAATTCTAAAATTCCAGAAATAGTAACATGCTTGGATTGTTGCCTAGTTGAGATTTATGCAGTAATTCTGCTTACTTAAGGACATCTAAGTGTCATCAGCCTAGCAGGCAACACTTTATTCATTTTGTTTATGGTTTTATGTATATGGCTCCTATGGGTTTCTCTCAATATGTACTTTGTGAACACCTCTAGGGCTATCTAGAGATGTATTTAACATCCTGTCTCTGGAATGAGTCAGGGAAGAGTCAAGGTTAATGCTAATCATCTTTGGGATTTAACTGTGTGTTAAAGAGGAAACTATTTGCTCTGTTTCTCTCACTCACATACTACTAGTTTGATACTGATACACTACTAGTATAGTAGTATACTGTTAGTATGCTTCTGATAGTTATGGTAAAATAATTATTAATTATAAGGACTTTTGTCAATTATCAATTCAATGTTTTGTTAAGGACCCTGACCCACAACTCCCAGTGACTGTATCTTTGATTGTCTGCTACAGTCAAAGGAGGGCTATGATAAAAGTGAAAACTCTGAGGCGTTATATTAATATGTGCTCACATGCATGTCAGAGCTCACTTTCCTCACTTTTGACCTCTTTGGAGGCATTCCAAGCCTTCATTGAGCACTCAGGTTTGAGGATGAAAGGAAAGGAGCACATTGTTTTTGAATTGTCTACTCCATTTTCAAATTTATTTAACTTTTGCAAAGTGCTCATATTTCATTGAACTTTCTAGCAAAACTGTGTTAGTCTTCATCTATATGTTGGCTTTGCCTCCCTTTTATGCTCACTTAGGTATGTTAGTCTTTCCATAATTCCTCTATTAGCTCAACTGGTGAGTCATTTCACATACTGTTTTGAATTATCTCCTCCAAAAAAGTATGCTCAAATACTAAGACTTGGCATCTCTGGATGTGAGTTTCTGCAGAAGTAATGAAGTTAAGATAAGGACATGTTGGAATACAATAGAATTTAAATCCAACATGACTGGTGTCTATTTAAGAATAAGAGAAAAAAATGGGTATTAAGAAGAAGAATGCCATGTGTTGAAGAAGGTAGGAATCAGAGTGACAAATGTACAAACCAAGGTAACTAAATTTTGCCAGAAATCACTAGAAGCCAGGAAGAAGCCAGGAAGGGATCTTGCCAAATGTCTTCAGAGGGAACCTGGACCTTTCTACACTTTGATTTCAGACATGTAGCCTTCAGAAGCAAGAGCATGTATTTCTATAGTTCAGAGCCATCCAGGTTGTAGTGTGTTGTTACAGTAGCCCTAAAAACACATGCCATGTGGGTGACACACACTTTCAGGCTTAAAGGAATCAAGATCTTAGTATCATTGGCAAAACTCGGACAGAGATGAGTAGCCTCACTCCTATGAATGAGGTTTGAATCATGATATGCGTCAAAGGGATACTGAACTCTAAAAGGCCTGTAACACAATGGATTGGGCAAAATATCCTACAAACTGCTGTGTGAGATTTTTAGGTACCACATTTCTTCTTCTTCTATTTATTTTTTCTTTATTCATATATGCATACATTGTTTGGGCCATTTCTCCTCCCTGCCCCCCGGCCCCCTCCCCCACCCTCTTCCCTTTCCTGTCCCTCAACCCCTTTCTTTTTCAGGCAGAAGCTGTTCTGCCCTCCTCTCTAATTTTGTTGAAGAGAAGACATAAGCAATAATAAGAAAGACATAGCATTTTTGCTAGTTGACATAAGGATATCTATACAGAGAGATTCCTAGCATTGCTTCCATGCACATGTGTGTTACAACCGAATTAATTCATCTCTACCAGACCTCTTCACTTCTTCCCAGTCACCTTCCCAAATTGACCTCTGTCATTTTAAGACTACTGTATTAGCTCCTCTGCAGTGGGGACATCAAACACTTTCAAGTTTTGAGTTTCTTGCTATCCCCATTCCTCCCTTATGTGCTCTCCCCTTAGCATGTAACCCAAGTCCAACAACATTACTGCCTTTGCCCTTGATCTAAAGTCCTCATATGAGGGAGAACATATGAGTTTTGGTTTTCTGAGCCTGGCTCACATCACTCAATATGATGTTCTCCAGTTCCATCCATTTACCTGCAAATGATAACATTTCACTTTTCTTCATGGCTGAGTAAAACTCCATTGTGTATAAATACCACATTTTCTTAATCCATTCATCAGTAGTGGGGCATCTTGGCTGTTTCAATAACTTGGCTATTGTGAATAGCACTGCAAGAAACATGGGTGTGCAGGTGCCTCTGGAGTAACTTGAGTCGCATTCCTTTGGGTATATCCCCAGGAGTGGTATTGCTGGATCATATGGCAGATCTATGTTTAATTTTTTAAGAAGCCTCCATAGTATTTTCCAAAGTGACTATACTAGCTTGCATTCGCACCAGCAGTGTATGAGGGTTCCTTTTTCCCCACATCCTCGCCAACAATCACATTTCTTCTAAGTGAGGTGAAATTAGTGGGTGTATTATTGCAGGTGTTTCAGAGCTTGTGTCCTTTTTCTTCCTCTTTTTTTGGTCTTCTATCTTTTTTTGGTATTTTCTTAGCTATTTAGCCCTTGTTTAGTTCATGTAGGCTTTTAATTTTGTGGTATTATTTTATGTGCACAGAGAACATGTTAATTGCTATTTAAACCACAACAATGGAATCTACATTTTGAAATTAGTGTTTTAATTTTACATGAATCCTAAGATGCACCATTAAAGAAAATTGGATGTGAAAAGCCTAAGTTATGCTAAATCACTAAAACTGGTATTGAACCTAGCTGGCAGAGCCAAGTACCCAGAGCATGTTTCAGAAGAATGACACAGTAAAAGACACATCTGGATGCAATCAAGAGGCATTTTAATACCATAAACCAGAAAGGCAAGAGAAGATTCTGAAACAGGGAGTGGTGTACCCTTTCTATTCATCAGAAGTCACAGAATTCATGACATAGTAAAATGAAGAATTACTAGAAATTTCTAATGGCTGCATGTAGAACTGTTTTAAGTGCCAGCCCAAATTTCAGGAACATTATTATTTTGAAGTTGTCATATTCTATTTAAAAAAAGTGCTAAAAGTATACATTAGGGTGAAGTCACCTTTACAAACTAGCTCTCCTCCCCTGTCTGAGGAAAACAACTTTTTTTTTTGTCTCCCCCCACCCATCATACAGGGTAGGGAATATTCCCCCAGGATGACCAGGTTACCCCCATCCCCACCCCATGAGTGACCAACTGCAGAAAACTACATACATGGCTCCCAGAAATAGGAATCAGCTGTCATGCTTCCTTTGAGTTGTGTCTTGGCAGGCCTTAGTAAACATTTTGGTGAGGTTTCATGTAGTCTACATGAGAACTTAAATTTATAGTTACACCATATTTTTGGCCAATGTACTTTTAAATACTTAGCTAGACCATTTACTACACTGTACATTCTTAATTGAACAGACTCCTTATTTCTAAATGTCAAAACCATCTTCAAGGCATGAGATTTATACCCAATTATTGGAGAAATGTAATTGTGTTTCATTGTCTGAAAACGCATCTTAACAAGGAGATTTGAAGCATTTGTGTCATCACAATATTATTGGGATAAATGACTTTAAAGATCCCTTTTGATAGAGACTACAGTTTTTTAAGTCTAAGGGTTCTTGCCTCTTTGTTTTAAAACAAAGAAACACAATAGTTTAATTATTTGGTTTTTGACCTTGGCAATACAATGTAGTGATGTTTCTCTTTTAGAGGTTTTCAAACAGTTATCCAGTCTAGAGAAAATAATATTTCTTAGATTTACATAATTGATGAAATGGAAATGAAATTCCAAAAATATCAATATGTGTAACATCTTATATATTTTAAATGTATGTTTCCAGTTTTTTTCTGATTAATTGGAATTATATATTCATTATCCTACAAGGTGAAATGTGGGAGAACATAAAGTATAGTATTAAGCAAGGGAAGATGGTGGCCAACTGGACTTGGCTCTGTTTTGAAAATTTGTGTCTCAACACAGAAAGACCCACAAAATAGAGGTGGAATGTCCCATTAGAATGCACATTAGAGTGGCTGAGAGATTTCTGGCCTTAAGAATGAAAAGATTATTATGTCTGTGGCTGTGAGCGTCAGGTTGCTATTGAATTTTTTTGTTTTTCAGCCAGACACATTATGCAGATGAATTATTGCACAGATACCCAATCTAACAAAGTAGACAAAAATTGAGCTGAACTAGGAAAATACAGGTACTGGGCTGACTAGCGTCTCACCTGCACAGAACGTCATTACTGTCCTTGATGTGGCCCCTGAGGCTCCAGTGAGCACAGTTTGAAAACAAATCAATGAAAGGACTGAGATTTTATTCTATCACTATGGGACTTAAAAAAAGGTAATTATTTTCCATAATAGGGTATTGTACAAGGTCAAAAAAAAGCTACAGATCATACTGACAGAAGCAAATCAACTTCAATACTGATTGTTAGGGTATTTTTTAAAATTAAGAGAAGGAAGACAACCCATATTATTGTAAAAGAAAAAATAACTCAACTTAAAATTACAACATTTCCAGTTATATTCTCTTTGAAGTATGTTAGGAAAAAAAATAAGACTATCCTTACAAAGATACTTTCCAAGTTTTCCAGAAATATTTTCTGCAGTTTATTTTCATTACATCGATATTTCTTTGAGAAATGTGATTGAGGTGCTCACAGCTGTATGTATAAAATGTTAATCAAAAGTCTTAATCTGTGTGTAGTAGGTGTCTATAGCCTATAGGATAAAGAAGATGAGGCAAATAAATTTAAGAGCCTTTTTTCTTTATACAGGTAATTAATATTAGAGGAGTTTAAACCTTTAGGAAATGAAAACATGTATTTTATTCATAAGAGTGACTCCAATGCAAAAATTGTCTTGCAAGAATTCTTAAATACCAAAAATGACTTATAGAATAATTTTTCTGTAAGTTTAACATTTATTTGCAAAAAGTTGCTGTCATAATTTTAGTTTAGCATGCAGCTTTACTTCTCAAAGCAAAAGAGAATAGAAAATGGATTGCTAACCATGTATATTCCTCTTAATTTCTGGCCTGGCTTTAACCTATGTAGTACACAACTAATCGAAAAAAATTTTGTTTAAATTGCAAATAATTATTAGGTCTGATTTCAGATATCTTGTAGTTTTGGAGTTTCCAGGAAAAAGAATTAAAGACTATTTTACTACCATTATTATTATCATCATCATTATTATTATTGGTGGCACTGCAGTTTGAACTCAGGGCTTCATGCTTGGTAGGCAGGCATTCTTACCACTTGAGCTACTCTGCCAGCCCAAATTAATTTATAAGAAAATGTTCTTGACTAAATGTAGTCTCTATAAGCTTAAGATTTTGCTCACTCTTTTCATGCCCTATTCACAGCATTTATAACAAGGCCTACTACATGGTAGTTCCTTGATAAATATTTATTGAATGAGTCCGATCAATACATTTGGTAAATGTATAGAATAAGTCTATAAATGTCTGTTTTCTATTACTTATTTTACTGACAACAGAATTACATTGTTGATCAGTTACCATAGCATTATAAGTCATAAGGAATGTTGGTTGGCATGCTCTTATCTTAGAGATAATATAGTGATGTCACGTTTGATTTGAATGGATTGTTTAAATGCTTAAGCAACTTTCTATCTGTCTTACCAAATTAGTTGTTCATTGAATTCTGGAGAGCAAGGTGTAATCTTGGTCTAGGATTCACCAGGATAAAGGCCCAGCAAGGGAATCTATTTTGAGTAGTTCTGTGTCTCCTTGAATTAAAACAAAGTACCTGTACAAATCCAGTTATGAGCTAATCTAGAGAAAGAAAGTCCAATTTTATAGGAATGGTAAGATACTACTTAGTTGAATAAACTTTTGTCCAATGGTTTTATGTCGTAATCATCTGGGTACTTGATGAACTTCGATGACCATATTTATTTAATACAGTTTTATTGTTCACTACGTCTTTCAGCTCTGTGATACATGTGATATAGGAGAACTAGTTCTGCAGTGTATGTACATATTCTGTTCCTGGGTTGAGTTTTAGAATTCTTCTCCATAGAGCAGACACATACCCTACCAGGTTGCATGACAAGGAAAAAATCTAACAAGCTGAATCTTATCTGCATACATAAAGACACTCTTCAGAAGAAAGTCTCTTTAAATGTGAATTAATCTTTTAAAGTTTCAAATAAGAATGAGGCTTGGTGATTTTTGTAACACAGAGACTTTCCCTCTCCATCTCTTCCTTCCAATAGAAAACTGTACTATTAAATAGTAATGTTGTCACTTTTATTCCAACATTAACACATTTTCTTCAGTTATCATACTTCATTATATTAATAAGATTTTAGTAACTACTGGTCCATAAAATCTTAATTTGTGCAAGGTTTTAAAATCAAATCTTCACTCATTTGTAGAAAGAGTATGATTTAATGTGAATTTGCTAAGGCTATTCTAACATAGAAATTGTCAGTGTTATATGTTTACAGTTTCTCCAAAATCAAGAATTTCCTTGGGGGCATTATTTTATTGCTTTCACATTCCTTCCTGCTCTGTTAAGTCTAATGAGGTTTATCTGTCCTCTAGGTGACCTACAAACGAGATCTGTATACGGCTGAATCGATTATTAAGGGTATGTTTGACCTTGTGACTGTCAGTTCCTGTGTTTAAAAAAATATAAGCCAGTTCAGAATTTCTCATGACACTCTAAATCCCAGCAATCTCAGAGGGATAAATGCCTGAAGGCCACTGAGGTCTCTGATTTGTTTTTTGAAAATAATTGCATTTTATTTTGATTAGTGCTTATGAAATTATCACTTACTGTGTCACATTGGTTGTAATTTTGACAAAAGAAAGACTTTAGCTTATTAATTTAAATATAAATCATTGATGCCATTGAAAGGAAATAGTAGAAAGTGACATTTTAGAAAAGTTGTAAAGGTATCTCTTGTTTGCTATTAGGATAATTTTCCCTATCCCTTCTCACTTCCACGTCTGTGCATTAGGTAGCACATTCTGTATGGAATCATTATTTCCACTAATTAGAAAAACTGGATGAGATGATTTTCTGAATTCCTTTTTTGTTCTGACCATGACTACATGTTTTGTAGTAGTGATAGTCTTTCCTTTTTATCACTATAACTCTAAGATTTCATCTACCCAGATAGTGTATCTAATAACCACGAGGTACTTATTTTTATGTTTAGCATTGTGTTAGGAATGTAATTAACATGTGGAAGGGACATTCTTTCTGTGTTTTTGCATCCTATATCATTTAAATGGGGTTTTTCGACCTTAGCATACACACGGACAATTTAGATTAGGTAATTCTTGGATTTTGGAACTATTTTGTGCATCACATTCTTAGTAGCATGCTTAGTTTCTACTGAGGTACCAGAAATACTTTTCCTTTCTTACTTCCCCCTTTGTTGTGACAAAGATGACTTCTGATGTTGTCAAATGTCCCACAGGGGATAATCTTGCCCTTAATTGAGAACTACTGTTTTAAATATATAGTCTTTTCAAGATCAAAGATTATGTAAGTATAGTAAGTAATTGCTTTCATAAAAGTTAGATCATTAGTAAAACTATATGCTCAAGTTTTGGTTGAGAGATGAACTTCCAAATTTAAACTTTTATTGAAATAGAAAAAAGTGCTGAATCTGAATTCTAAATGCATTCTTCATTTTTAAGGTTTGGGAAATCCTGTTTAACAACCAGTTGGATTCATATACAGAAAACTGAAATCTTTTCTCTGATCATGACACTGTATTTGCAGTTTATCCTCAAGTTCTTTGTCCCTTAAGCATATTTAGTTTCAAGCCATTAATGTACTATAATTTGTATATCTGTGTCTATAAACAGATCATCTATAACCATAAATCAAAACGCTGACATATATTTATATATCAGCCAGGCGATTGTGTAAATATGTCTCTGTGAGAGTTTGGCTAAACCATGATGTGGTCAGTTATGCTCTCAACACAAAGAATGGAAAGCTCAGTTTGGTTTTGTTACAAAGTCATCTCTGTATTACCTAGGTAAAACAAAATGGAAATGGTCTGTTTTGTGAACAGTTAGTAGGTGGTTCAATAGAGGATTCTATAAATTGTAATACTTTGCCCACATGTTATCAAAACAGGCTGCTTAAAACTTAAAAGCCTACATTTTAAACATACTTGCTTTTCTTACTTAGGTAAAGGTTCTAGTATATCATTATTTTTAAAGTTTTTAAAAGAGTGTTTTCTTCTCAGGGAACGTAATTTGACTAGCTTAATGTAAGCAGCTGATTTAGGTCAACAAATTCCAAAAGTTGCCTTATTCTCTAAAATTTGTGTTTTTTAAAACTTCTTACAGATTCTGATGCTACTGGTAAAGTTAAAGGAACGCTGCTCTGGGGTCTTGCCTCTGTGTGTTCACCTAAGACCAGTAACTTCAGGGTTTCTGAGACCTCCAGAGTAGAATCTCTGGCCCCAGGTCACTCGTTCAGAATCTGAATTTGATAAGAATTATGGACGATTTATAAGTTAAATTCCAGAAGTTCTACTCTAGGCTTCTCTACAGTCTTTTACAGGTCAAATCTTTCTAAATTATCTTTATTACAATTTGAAGTCTTACCATGCTCTACCAACTTCAAAGGCTTATTTGTTCACCTGAGATTACTCTCTGCCATCAGTAATTGTGATAAATACTGTCTCTGATACTTGCTATACCTTTGGGCACAGGAAAAAGTGCTCTTAGCTTTTAAAAAATTCAAATGGCAAAATATGATGTGGTTGATTTAAGACTATCTGAGCTATATATTCAACTCCTTCCCTTTTCATAGTGTATTGATAAACATTATCCCAAGAAATAGAACCAAAAGAATGTAAATATAGATACAGATACATAGGCAGAGATTCATCATGGCACATTGGCTCACATGATTTTGGAGGTTAGTTGTCATGATTTGCCTTCTGCAAGCAGGAGGCCCAGGAAAGCTAGTCCAAACCCAGAGATCTGAAAACCAGAAGGGCTAGTAGTCTTTGAACTGAAACTGGGACTGAGGGCAGGAGAAGATGGATATCCCAGCACCAGAAGAGAGGGAACTTACCCTTTCATCTTTTCATTCTAGTCAATATATGACATTAGAGGACAGGCATGCCACTAAACAACTGTGATGAACAAAATAGTCCTAAACAGAGGTCCTCAATGGGTTGGATGATGCCTGCCCCACATTGATGAGGCCAACTTCTTTGTTCAGTCTTCCCATAAATGCTAATCTCTTCTAGAAACACCCTCACAGATTCACACAGAAGCAATGTTTTACTAGATATCTGGGCATCCCTTAGCTCAATCACATGGGCGCATACAATTAACCATCATACCAAGTAAATGTTGACAGTATTTTTCTAAGTGCTAATATTTCATAGCATTTATTGGAAACTAGCTTTGGCTTGGGAATTATTTGAAAAATTTTATGTGTATTATCTCTTTACATTCTTCAAGACATCAGTGATATAAACAACATTATTATTTCCATATTATAGTATACTGAAGGATTTTAATGCAATTACTGACTTGAGAAGGGTGGAGAATAAACTTAACTACAAGGCTCAGCCTTAGGCACTTTCCTCTTCATTACATAACTGACCCCACTCTCCACCATTTTCCCTGTGAGTAGAGATTGTTCAGATTCTCTCATCTAGAATCTACAGGCTACATGAGTTTTGGAATATTTTGTACTTTCAGAACTAAAGCACACCATCTACTATATCTCACCCCCAGTGGGATTTGGGACAACCATAAAATGAAACTCATGATGTGTAAAAATGTCTATGCTCAATGTGATAAATACTATGGAAATTCTAGCCAGTTTAAGTTTGAAGCTGATTTTGCCACCAAGTTATAATGAAACAATTTATTTTGGTTTTAAGACCAGTTTGAATTTCAGCATTGCCCATAATATGCTATGAACCTGTTTCAGATTATTATTCAATGAAAGTGCAGAGAATGTCGTTGTTTGGCATCTTCTTTTATTGAACTGGGTTTATTTGTATGATATCAGGTATAGCTACATTTTTTCCTTCATCTTGAAGATTTTACGTTATGAAAATACATGGCACATCCCACCTTACCATTCTTCTTCCAACAAAGGCATATTGAGATACAGTATGTCTATCCCTTTACCATTTTTTTAAAGTAGAAATGATACAATGTTTTCGTGTTCTTTTGTCAAGACTTGAAACCAGAACTTGGAGCATATAGCACTTATGCTATGTGTCTTGTATATGTTGTCTCATTTGTTTAAACTTGTGCCCTAAAGTAGATATTATTGCTTTCATTTCATAGATGGGGAAACTGAGATTTAAGTTAAGTTACCTTCCTTTGGGTCACATAGTTGGTAAAAGCCAGACTCACAGCTTAAATCCAAGTCTCCATTTTCCTTAATTCTTTTTTTTATGGTGTTATTATTTCTGAAAGGACTAGGTATAGGTAAATAAAATTACTTTATCCACATCTTTCAGCTTCAAGTGGCTTTGATTTTTTTTAACATTAGCTACTCAGAGTAGAATTTATAAAAAATCAGGGAATGTTTTTTTACCCAAAGAGAAAACAAAAATATAATGGCATTCAATAGTTTAAAATACTGTATAATATCTCATTGATTCTATGTACACTTATACCTCTTGAAAAAAATCCAATTTATTGGTCATCTTGAAAGATTATTGTTTTCTGCAATGGTTGGATTTCCAAATATATGAAAGTGACTGCAGCATTCATTTTGTCTATTGTTGGGGGCTGTACTTGTATTTAATTTCTCTAAAGAATTATTGACAGTGTATTCTTGTTCTATAGTATGGCACTTGGCAAAACATTTCTTCTTAATTTGAACTCTTCAATGTAACCTTCACAGAAATGGTTCCATAATACCAGTGCATCAACTCTTTTAGTAAATTGTGTTATTAGATATCTGCTTATAACTTACCCTGTAAGTAATCTTAATCAAATCACTTAATGTCTTCATTTTGCTTCCATGAAATTTTCTAGAACAATTGCTACCCTTGCTTATCTCACAGGACTGCAGTATTGGACTGCTTCTGTGGAGTTCATTTAACCCTCATGAATGAATTCCATGTAACTAAAAAGGAATTTAGTAGATTTCTTAGATAAGCTGGGAGAGAGATTTGTGACTGCCTAGAGTACATCAGGAAGAGTTTGTTGGCTTGCAAAGAATGTATGAAGTAGGCAAACAGGATAAGAAGTAGAAGAAGCACCTGTACGTATTAAGCACCATTGCATACAGTGCTATCTGCCAGGCACTTTTGATGCATTTTCTCATATAGCCATTTTGTTCTTTTTTTATTATAATTGTTGTGCTGGGGGTACATTGTAACATTTACAAAAGTTCTTACAATATATCATAGTTGAATTCACCCCCTCCATCATTCTTCTTTATCCCCACTCCCTGCATTCCTGATAAAGTTTCAACAGCTTTTATTTTTCTATTTACATACATGTGTACATAATATTTCCTACATATTCACCCTCCTCATTGTCCTTCATTTTAATTCCATTCTGGGACATGTCCATTTTGTATCTCTGAATTATGTAGCTATTCCTACTGGACACCAAAGTCTATCCTAGAATTAA